GAAACAAGTATTTCTCCAGTGCCTACAATGTATCAGGCACTGTGCTAAGCACTTTGCACACTATCACCTCACTTGATAATGCTGGAGTCACTGGAGGTCTGGTGGATTGTTACTGGTCTGTGACGTGGAGGGGATGCCCATTCCCAGGTCGGTTCCCAGTAATCCCTTCAACCCTTCTGACTCAGCACTTCCGAGCTGCCAATCACTACCTTAAGAGCTCTGACACTCTCCCTGTTCACTCAAGTTGGTGAGCTAAATAAACAAGGAAAGATTTAAAAAGCAGCACACACGCCGGAAAAGATCACTCCGTGATACTAGGCACAGTCATTAAGCGCTATATGAATTCAAAGGAGGGAGAGACTATCAATCAGATGGCTGATTTCCTAACATTCCCTCCCCCACTGCTACCCTTCAGTTTGTAAATGACGACACTGAGCCAGCCCCATAGCTCTGTAGATGGTCATGGTCATGGGGTAATGAGCAAGATCTGGGATTCAAGCCCATTAACTCCAGATAAGGAGCAAGTTGTCACTACACCATGCTGAAGATAAGTGAGAGTTGATTCTAGCTGATTCTAGGATGAACTGGCAGCTGGCTTTAGTGAGAGGAGGCGTTGTTCAGTTGTTTCAGTCATGTCTGACTCTTCGTGACCCCATTTGGGGTTTTCTTGGCAGAGATACTGGAATGGTTTGCCATTTCCTCCTCCAGCTCATTTTACAGACGAGGAAACTGAGGCCAACAGGGTGAAGTGACTTGCCCAGGGTCACACAGCTAGTTAAGTTTTTGAGGCTGATTTGAACTCAAGAAGATGGGTCTTCTGACTCAAGCCCAGTGCTTTATCCACTGCGCCACCTAATGGCCAGAGTGGGGATATGGGGAGAGCCAATACAGCAGTCCATCCCACATCTAACTTGACCTAGAGGTGGGCATAGGTTAGGGATGTGATAAAGGAAAGAAGGCTTCTGGGAGGAGGTGAGCTTGGAATTAATCCCTACAAGGTGGAGAAGTTGATTCAATTGAGAAGGCAGAGTGGAGCCTGTGAGGACACTGCAGAGAACAGTGAAAGATTTGGGGGATGAGGTAGATTGACTTGACTTAAAATAGAAGATTGGTCTAAGGGAATAGTGGGAAATCACCGGATAAATCGTAACCTTCTTGAGAGCAGGTATAAAAGCTTTTTTAAATCTGCGTATCCTCTGTACCTAACACAATGTCTAGCACATAGTAGGCACTTAATAAATGCTTGTCGAATAGAATTTCTTTTAATGTTTAGCACAGGGCTGGGCACATCATATGTGCTGAGTATGTTATTGATTGAATGAGATGGTTCAGTCCCTTTTTATAACAGCAAAACAACCCAAGGGAGAAAAAGGAGGCAGCTTAGGCTGGACAGGGTACCACCACCTTGAGGACTGCCTCCCCTGAGACCTTGATGAAGACAGCCCAGATCCCTGGACCCAAGAGTCTTGGGAATAGCATTGCCCCCAGATCATCAATCTTGCTGAAGCCATCACCTGGGGCAGTTAACTAGTGTGGAGAAGGGGTCAGTTAACTCCATCCACTGCTACCTACAATCAAATAAATAAGTCAACAAGCATATAATAATGATGATAGCTAACATTTACATAGTGCTTACTATGTGCCAGGATCTGTGCCAAGCACTGGGAATACAAAGAAAGGCAAAAGACAGTTTCTCCTCTCCAGGACTTCACAGTCTGGGGGCAAGGGATGGGGCAGAGAGCGGGACAGCAACATGCAAACAACCATGGAGAAACAAGATATAGATGGGATAAATTGGAGATTGTCAATACAGGGAAGGTACTGGAATTAAGAGGGGATGGAAAAAGCCACAGGGTCGCAAGCCAGTCTTGCTAAAGCAGCAGCAAGCTACCCTATGGAGGAGACAGGAGCACTGCTACCATCTGGACCACCATCTCTCCCAGGGGAGAGAATGCATGATTCTGAACCCAAGAACCTGGGAACAGCAGTGCTTCCAGACCACTGGGCTCCCATCCATCATTAAGGAGAGAAATCACTTTGGGGAAGGGGTCCACTTTCCCAATCACCACTATCAAGGGAAACAAGGCCAGAGGAGATGTGGCCTGGCTTCTCTTCCAGCTATGGCCAAAGCTGCCAAAGACCTGTTAAAGAAAGTTCGTGCCACCAGAGACATTAGCCCCTTCAAGTCAACATTAGAAACATATATGATTGGATTGGTGGAAATGACATAAAAAATGAGGCAATATCTTCTGTTGTGCTGCTGCATCCTAAAGTCCCCTGGACCTTTCCATCTGGCTTGAAGATGAAACCTCTCATCCCCCATTAAAATAATATTAATAATAGCTAGCATATACATAGCAATTTAAAGTTTGCAAAGTGCTCTACAATTATGATTTCATTTGGTCCTCATGACAATCCTGGGAGATATCATTATTAGCCCTATTTTACGGATGAGGAGCTGGAAGCAGTTAAGTGACTTGCCCAGGATTACACAGCTAATAATTATCTGAGACAGGATTTGAACCTAGTTCTTCCTGATTCCAGGCCCATTAAGCTTCCTTAGAAGAGGGACTCTATTACTTTTCTTTTTTAAATTTTTTAAAAAATATATTTTAATTTTATTAAATATTTCCCAATTACATGTAAAAAATTTTTAACATTCATTTTTTAAAATTGTGAGGTCAGAATTCTCTCCCTCTTTCCCCTTCCCCATGCCCTGAAAAGGCAAGCAATTTTCTATCACTTTTCTATTTACACCCCCAAAGCTTAGCACAGTGCTTTGAACATAGTAAGCATTTCATAAATGCTTCCCCCCACCTCCCTTCAGCTAAGTGGTGCAGTGGATAGAGCCTCTGGCCTTGGCCTCAGGAAGACCTGGGTTTAAATCCAGCGTCTGACACTTACTAGATGTGTGACCCAGGGCAAGTCACATCATCCCCTCTGTAAAATAGGGATAACACAGTAATAACAATCATGGTACTATCTACCTCTCCCTATTGTTGTGAGAAACAAATGAAACACAATTTGCAAAGCACTCTACAAATGCTAGCTAGGATTCTTCATTTTACTTGACAGGCACTCTTCAACAAACAAGTCCCACGGTCAGGTCATAGGGTCCCCAAAGCTGCCCCTCCACTGGGACGGTCACATCCTTCTCCCTTCTCCTCCTCCTATCTCTCGCCTCTTCCTTATCTTCTCCTCTTCCCTCCTTCCCTTCTCCTCCTCTCTCCCTCCCCTCTCCCTCCCCTCTCCCTCCCCTCTCCCTCCTCTCCCTTACCTCCTCCTCCCTCCCTCCTCTTTACCTCCTCCTCCTCTCGCCTCAGAAGGTCTGCGGCGCTGAGCCTCGGCCAGGACTACATTTCCCAGGGGGCTTCGCGCTCAGACTGGTGACGTGACACTCGGCTCTCGGGAAATCCAGACGTGCCGGGAGCCGGGGGCGAGGATGGCCGACAAGCGAGGTGACCTAAGGGCCTGCGGGGGACGGGGTGGTGAGGGGGGGTAAAGGGGGGTGGGGCACACGGCGGGGGAAGCCCCTCGCCTGGCTCGCGACTCCACGGGGGCGGCGGGAGAGGGGCAGGGCTGGAGCCGGTCTCCCGGGGTAACGGGGGGCGGGGTCTCGGTTCCGGGCTCCGGGGGTGTTTGGAGTTCCCCGCTGGGAAGGGCCTTAGAGAGAATCCAGCCGCCTCTGATGCACACATGGGGAAACGGAGGCGCGGGGGGGGGGGAACGTCAGCGAAGCTGGGGCTCACCCCTAGGCCCCCCGACTCCGAGGTAGCGCTGTAGGGTGTGCGAAGTGCTTTAGCGACAGGAGCTCGTCCTGACCTCCCAGCAGCCCTGGGGCCATGCTTATTATTCTCCATTTAACAGATGGGGAAACTGAGGCAGGCAGCAGGGAAGCTGTTACTGCCCTGGAAGGGTCCTCCTGACTCCGACCCCTATCCACTGGGCCTCTGTAGGATCGTGAAGGAGCCTTGGATGTCATCTCATAGTAAGGGCTGACCTCCATACAGGCTTTAAGGTTTGGGGAGTCAGCGAGACCCAAGTTCAAATCCTGCCTCAGACACTGCCAAGTCACTTCCCGGCTGTTGGCCTCAGCTTCCTCATCTGTAAAATGGGGGTCATACCTGCACCTACCTCCCAAGGTTGTTGTGAGGATCAAATGAGAAAATATGTGTAAACCTTAAAGCACAGTGTTATTTATTAAGCACCGACTATGTGCTAAGTGCTGGGGCTGCTTCTTTGTTTTTGTTCTCTCTTGTTCAGTTCTCTGGTGACCCCATTTGTGGTTCTCTTAGCAAAGACACTGGAGTGGTTGTCATTTCCTCCCTCCTTCCTTTGCTCATTTTACAGATAAGGAAACTGAAGCAAATGGGTTTAAGTGACTTGCCCAAGGTCACTCAGTGTGTGAGGCCAAATTTGAATTCAGGAAGACCAGTCTTCCTGACTCCAAGGCCGGTGCTCTATGTTACACCACCTTACTGCCCAAGTGCTGGGGATACAATTAATAAGAAGACAGTTCCTGCCCTCAAGGAGCTTCCAATCTAATGGGAGAAGATCACACACAAAAGGAGGCAGGAAAGGTGGTGGTGGTGGGGAGACCAAAGGGTATGGGGGCGCATCGTGTTCTGTGGAGTTGAAACCTGGCTGAGCAGCAAATGCAGAGGGGAGTTTATATTAATATTAATTAATATGGATATTATTAATCAGTAAACATTTCTTAAGTACCTACTGTGTGCCAGCCACTGAGCTGTACACTTTGGATACAAAAGGAGGCAAAAGGCAGTGCCTGCCCTCAGGGAGCTCACCATCTAATCCAGAATTATAATTAATATTATGACTTTTTGTGTCTGGCTTCTCTTCTCAGCCCTGGGGTTTGGGGGTTGGGGGTTGGTCCTTACCCCATACTCACCATCCAAGGAGGAAGCTTTGGCTTCTCACTGTTCCTAAGTGGACTCAAGCCAGCGTCATCCCCAACTCCACTCCAGAGCCTGCCTCTTCAGTCAAACCCTGTGGTGCTATGGAAGTGTGAATCAGGATGAGAAGGAGCACTGAGCAGATTGTCACCTTTCCTTGGGTGCTTCCGGGGAGCTCCCTCGCCTCCAAGTCGACCCCCAATGCCACACTGAGGTGACTCAATTGGAGGCCTGCCATCTACCTGCAGGCTGGGGCAGATTCTGCCAAGCCAAGAAGGCTCTGTAACAGAAGGGTCCACTCTGCCTCCTGAGGGTGAGCCTAGCTCTGGAGAGAGAGAGAGAGAGACCCATGGACAGGAGGCTGGTCCCCAGGAAGAAACCTCTTCGAGGGTGGGTCCCTGTGGCCAACTTGAACTCAAAGAAAAGGAACAAGAGCCCCCCCTGGAGGGGCTTCTGCCTTCTTCGTGGGGAGGATGAGATTCCAAAGGCATTTGAGGAGGAAACGCCCTCCACCAGGGCAAGTCGGCACCTTTGCAACTTGTCATCTTAGAGCTAAAATGTTAAGGGAATTCCCTCAGGTCCTACTGCCTGGGAGTGTTAAAGGTGAGACTCCCAGTTCGAGGCTGTTTCTCTGTTGATTACAACATGGCCTCTCAAATTCTCACTATTAGGAATAGATGTGTTAAAGTACTTATTTATGGGAAGGGTCTTGGAGAGAGAGGGAGAGGGAGAGAGAAACTGTAAACTCTCAAGAGCTGGAAAGACCCCTTAAGGGCCATCTGTTTAAAAACTGTTCTAGCATTTATTAAGTGCCTGCTGTATACAGACATGGTCCCCGAATGCAGAGAAATTATAGTCTAGTAGGGCAAGATGACACACACTAATCTATGCTAATACACAGTAAGTACATTAGACAGGTACAGATCAAATGCTATGCCAGATTCTGGGGGGAAATGTGATTTATATACTGGAGGGAATCAAGGTAGATTTCTTGGAAGAAACCATTTGAATTGGGATTAAAAGGACAGATGGGAATAGATAGATCCTGACCAGGTGGACATGGGCCAGACTTGATTGGTATTGAAAGCTCTATTGGGGTGGAGAAAGGCTGGGCAGCATCCCATGCTTAGGGAGGAATGGGAGGTAGGAAGGGTAAATGGAGGCCTGCGTATCTGGAGCCTTGACTGCCAGGTTGAGGAGTCTGAATAGAATGGGTGAGCAAGCTGGATGATGAGGGCAGACAATGAGGAAGCTTTATTAGGCCGAAGTGTATGGGATGTCTGCGGCCTCACTGCCCCACAGTTATCCAGCCTCTACTTAAGTACTTCCAGGAAACGGGAAGCTCACTACCTTTTTTTTTTTTTTTTTGGTGAGGCAATAGGGGTTAAATCACACAGCTAGTAAATGTCTAGTGTCTGAAGCCGGAATTGAACTCAGGTCCTCCAGATTCCAAGGCCGGAGCTCTATCCACTGCACCACCTAGTTGCCCCTGAGCTCACTACCTCTTGAGAGTGACTGACATGGGACAGTTGTAACGACTTGAAAGTCATCTGAAAGGGCAGAGTTCATTGTGATGAGGTCTTTTAAAGTCTCATTAGGGAGAGGGAGGGAGCAGCTAGGTGGTACAGTAGAGCGAGCACTGGACCTAGAGTCAGGAAGACCTGAGGTCAAATCCAGCCTCAGACACTAGCTGTGTGACCCTGAGCAAGTCACTTAACCCTGTTTGCCTCAGTTTCTTCATCTGTAAAATAAAGTGCAGAAGGAAATGGCAAACCTCTCCAGTATCTCTGCCAAAAAAAACCTCAAAATGGGGTCACAAAGAGTAGGACGTGACTGAACAACAACAGCTGGGAGAGAGGGAGGGAGGGAAGGAGACTAGGAAATGGAGGGGATGCAAAAGCCAAAGGTTTGGAGTCTGAACCTCTACCAATGCAGGAGGCACCTTCTCTTCCACTTCAGAGTCTGTTCAGAGCCGCCCAAGGCACTGAGAGCTTGAGGTAATTGCCCAGGATCCCAAAGTCAGTAGTTGCCAGAAGAAGGACTTGAATCCAGGTCTTTTGGACTCTGAGGCCAGCTCTTTAGTCCCTACACTCTCTCAAAAACAAAAAGTATCAATTTTTAAAAAATGGTCCTGGAACCAAGCAGCACACCCTGTCCCACTGAGTCACAAACGCTCCTGCTCACACAATCTGACTCCAGAAATCAGGGGGCTTGTCTGTGCTCTGCCCTGTGTTGGCCTCGCCTGGGGTGGGGAGGGGGTGGGAGAGGGCTCTGCCTTTAGGAGCCCATATGGTTGGAGGAACAATAACACGAGCCACAGAGAACTGATCCTCGTGGAGTATTAGAGCAGGAGGGCCTTGGAGACCGGGCTGGCCAACCCCCTCACTTTGTTTTATTTTATCTTTTCAGCCAGAGGCAAGGTTTATTAAAGATTTGCCATATTAGCCGACTCTTAAGGAAATCTGAACATTTGTGAGCCACTGGATAGGTTCTTAAGGAATCCGAGCACCTTAATGGAGACAAGATGGACCTTATGTACAGAAAGACTGTGGGAAGGATCTAGCAAAGATCTGGATGGGAATGGCCATTAAGATGGGCAGAACAGAACACCGGGGACTGGACCACATGGCCAAGGGAGAACAGTCTAGATAGGGTCAGGGTTGGGAAGCAGCCAGGGGCCTTAGGGAGGTAAGACAACTGAGAATTGGGAAGGTGAGGATGATAATGAAAGGCCAGTTGATAGGATTCTAGCCTCAGGGGAAGGTCAAAGACCTCGATCAAGTGGGAGAATTCAAAGAGAATCCCTTAGATAAATGGGATCCAAATTCTTTTTGGGGTAAAGGGTAAAGGGCAAAGGTCTTGGCTTCTGAAACTGTTTCCTGCTGGCAAGGGGCGTAGAGTTATCTCTGCCTCTCTGGGTCCAGTTCAGGGGGTCAGACTTCAGGTCCAGTGGGCAAGAAAACCTTGGACTCAGTTGGAGGTTGGTAGCCTGAACAATCATCTGGCTTAGGAACCTTGAGGAGACAAACCTGGCAAGGAGGTTAACAACGGTTGGGGTGGCATGAGTAGCTTGCCCAGGAATTCCCTGATCCCAAACAATTAGCTCAACTGTCTCCCACACTTAAGGGGGAACATGGGAGGTCTGGTGCACAAAGGGAGAAGGGAGATGGGAGGCTTAACTAGAGAAGATTGGCTCTCTCCAACTTCACCATCAGGTCCCTTCCCAACAAAGAGGCAGGGCAAGAGGAGAGCATTGGCTATCTTACCCTACAGGAAAATAAGGGGGGAAGGGGACAAGACAGCCGGGGGTTGATACAGGCGAGGGCAGATTGGGGGAGGGGATAATCAAAAGCAAACACTTCTGAGGAGGGAATGGGTCAAAAGAGAAAATAGAATAAATGGGGGGCAGGACAGGATGAAGGGAAATATACTTAATTTTTCACAACACGACTACTATGGAAGTGTTTTGCATGACTCCACATCCATAACCTGTATTGAGATGCTTGCCTTTTCAATGAGGGTGGGTGGGGGGGGAGGGAGGAAGGAAGGGAGAAAATTTGTAACCCAAAGTTTTAAAAACACGTTTAAAAAAAAATTTAAAAAAAAAGAATTTTACATTTGTTGACCCCAAAAGATACCTTGATATCATTGAGAAATAGTCCATAAGATGAAATAACTGTTTAGTATAATTTTTAGTGGAGTCATATAACTTGATGCCATTCATGTACATCAAGTGATTAATACAATGTTTTGGTACTAGTTATTTTTTTATTTGAAAGCTATTTTCATTTTTATTTAGGAATGATGATAATTGATTTAAAGCTAGGTAGAAGCACAGTGGGCTTAAATGGTCTCCTTGGAACATGTTATGTCATATTTTGTTCTTGAAATTATTGTTTTATTAGCATATTTTGAATAAAGAAGTTTTCTACATGTATATTAAATATTTTTTTAAAATGCAAAAAAACAAAAAGAGGAGAGCATTGAAACAACAGTAATTGGGCCTGAAGTGTTTAGGGTCCCATTGTCAGTTTCTGCAGTTTCCTCCTAATATCTGGGGCAGACTGATTAATGAAATACATGCTAAGGATTGTTGCTTCTTCTATAGAATTGGGATCTAAATTCGTATATTTTTAAATAGCTTCTACTAGCATGTCTTGGGAAAGGGCAGGGTTTTCCTTTTCTCCCTGAGTAATTTCTTTAATTTTTTGAAAATTTACTTGCTTTTGAAATGCAGTTCTTAGGCCTTCTAATGGGCAAATTACCATATAGTCACTCTTTCCCCTATCTTCACTCTTCTGATAATACCATCCTGGATCAGTAGTGGGAACAGCAACTGTCCCTGGGGGGTGTTTTGTGGGGTCAGCCAAATGGTCCCCAAATTTTTGGGCTTATTCCCAGATTCTCCTCAGTGGTGTAAGGGGTGGAGAAGAGGATATGCAAATTACCCCAAGAAAGCTCGAATTGTAGGGACATGCCCCTAAAGCCCTCAGTAAACTTGGTGGAAATCTTCTGAGTATCGCCCCAGTTTCTCCTTAACCTGAATGAGGTCTAAAATGAAGAACGGAACATGCACCCTAATTGTCCCATTAGGGGAGGCAGGAACTTCTTTTAAGGAAAAAAGCTCTGAAGGTGGTGTGGGAACAGAGGCTCCCCTCATTTTACAGAGAAGGAATCTGGAGCCTAGGGGATCACAATTTAGAACCCAAGGGATCAAAGTGCTTTACCCAAAGGGCTGTGGGGAATTCTTGCCAAAGCTGGCCTTCAAAATGAGGCTCCTTCCACTGTTCAGCATGGCTAAAACGAGGGTTCTGGGAGTTCAGTTTGCAAGCACACATATGTGATCCTCTGCAATTACTAATCACACACACAATTCAGAGCCTCGGCACTCATAGGCTCACACACCTGTGGGACACTGGGGAATCTGCTGAGTGTCGGAGAGAGGGAATCCTTTTCTGAGGGGGCCTAGTGCTCCAAGAGCATCACTGGTTCACTAGGATTGGGGCTGCAGGGCAGGGTTTGAGTTTCTCATAAATCAAGGGTCTTTGACCTGGGCTCTGTGACCTTTATTGAAATTTCAAAGTAATTAATTTCCTTTGTAATCCTATGTATTTTATGGCATTAAAAACATTCGGAGGGGCAGCTAGGTGGCGCAGTGGATAGAGCATCAGCCCTGAAGTCAGGAGGACCTGGGTTCAAATCTAGACTCAAATCAAACACTTGACACTTACTGGCTGTGTGACCCTGGGCAAATCACTTAACCCCAATTGCCCAAAAACACACAAAAAACAAAAAAAAACACCACCAAAACATTCGGGGGGTGGGGTGGTGAGGGCTCCACCAGATTGCCAAATGGGTCCAAGACCCCAAAAGGATGAAAGATAAAAGCTCCTTCTCCTCAGTCTAAGAGCCAGTGAAAGCAGCTATACACTTGTGCTGGACCTGACCAGCATCTTCTTAGCCCCTTCCCATGAAGCCAAGTGTTTAGAAAGCACCACAGTTTGGGCTGACCATCTGCTCCTCCCGCAGTGTTCCTGCTGTCCTGCCCGGTTCAGCATTATGCCTGGGGGAAGGTCGGCTTTTCCAGCGAAGTGGCCCAATTGCTGGCAAGCAGTGACCCGATGATGGTCCAGATTGAAGAGGACAAGCCATATGCAGAGGTGAGGAAGGCCCTTTCTCTCACAGATGAGCCATGCCCAGGGATCCAGAAACTATCCTAGGGAACCCCAGCTGCCCTGGAGTCCTTCAGCTCCTCGTGGCAACCTACTCCCCTTAGGCAGGTGATTAGAAAGAAGGAAGTCCCAGCCCAACCAGTGCTTACAGACCAAAAGACAACACTGACACAAACAGATGTGATGTTCTGCCAGCAGAAAGGTAACAGGAGGTTTGGAAAAACGTAATCTGAGGATGATTGTTCTTTTTGTCTCAAAACTCATAGCGGTCACTGATTCCCTCCTCAATTTTGAGGCTTAACTTGCACAGGGAAAATAGGGGGTGGGGGACAGGGGATGGACTATGACCCAGGACAATCAAAAGGCCCATCAGATTGATAATAATCCCATATATCTGTGCAGTGTCTAACATTTGACCCTATCAATCTACCCACCTGTGAGGTCAGCAGAACAGTCAAAACTGAGTCCCAGAGAAGTTAAGTGGAGTGCTCAAGGTGACCCCTCTAATTAGTGAACCAAGGCCTCCAGACTCTAGCCCAGTGCTACGGTTGCCTGCCTGATGACAGAATCAGGACTCAACTCCATTCTCCTGACACAGTCTGGGACTACTCCAACCTATAGATGGTTGGGAGTTGGTGATCTTGTTTTGAGGTGGGTGTAGTCAAGGGGGTGTTGTGATTGCAGTTAAGGTAAACTGAGGCACAAAGTTCTAAGTACATTTGGTTTATTGGTCCGCTAGCAATTACCAATAAAAGGGGATTCCTCAGGCAGTCTAAAGACCATGAGGTGGGGCTTGCTAGTTTTTATATAGTTTTGGGAGGAACAGAAAACATAAAACAACATGATTGGTTGCAGAGTCTTTAGCATCATGATGGAATAGAAGGCTAGCGACAACCTCTCCTTCCATCTTGTTGCTAGGGAAACCTCATTGGTGGGTGTCCACCTGCATGGCTGGAGTCACAGGGATGAGAGTCCAGACTTTCTTGAAGGACAGCCAGCATTTTGCAGAGATAACAGACTTCCTGGCACCCCCTGCATCTCACAATGCTTGGTATCGAGATCACAGATCTCCCTTAATTATACATCGAGAGTAAGATGTGTAGAGACTATGTTTCTTTGACTTAAGGTGATTTATGGGACAACTGAATTTTAAACTGACTCAGAGAGGGAAAACTGAACATCTGGACTCGTGAACTTCTGAATGTAACCCAGAGACAAAGAAACGTGGCTCAGGCAGTTAGAGAATAGAATCAAATAGAAAATCACTATAGGATTTTCTCAGGGGTCTGTACCTGATTGTGGTGTTGGCTTGGTCCTCTAAGCAGCAGCTCACCATCAGCTTCCCTGTCCGACTAAGGATTCTCTCCTGTTCAGATGTGGATGGGAACCCACCCCCGGGGTGACGCTGTGATTCTTGACACTGATATCTCTGAGAAGACACTGGGGAAGTGGATCGCCAACAACTTGCCTTGCTTAGGGCAGAGCGTCAAAAAAACCTACGGAGATCTGCCTTTCCTCTTCAAAGTGCTATCTGTCAACACAGCCCTTTCCATCCAGGCACATCCCAGTAAGGTAGGAGATAAGCACAGGGGCCGGCGACAATGGGGGAAAGAGGGAGATTTTCTTTTTCAGGATGTCCCCCCACAGCAACCTTAGCAGCCCTCACCTCGCACTGATGACCTCACCCTTCCTTGTCCAACCCAAAGCACAATCCAGAGTTACATGACTGCTCCCAACTGAACCCTCTGGGGCCTGGCTTTGGCTAGCAGGCCATGCCTGGGCATCCAGCTTGGGCTGAGAACTGTGCAGGTGCTCTGCCCCTCTCCTTACCTAGCCTCGACCTGTTCTAAAGGACCTGAAGGATCATTGTTTTGCTATAACATGTTAGAGCTGGAAGGGACCTCTGAGGTCCCCTTTACAGTGAGAGGAGATTCCCTTTATAGGTACAACTGAGGCTGACAGACATGAAACGATTGGTGGGGGAGCTGGAACCAGAACTTGGGCTTCCTGGCTATCAAGATGAGGCAGGGGATCCTCTGACAATAAGATCCTGCGTCCTCATATCATCCCCAGGTCTCTCAGCAGCACATGCCCATTGCTGCGCTCAGGGCAATATAGCATGTGGGAGTCACAGAGGCCTAGTTCTCAGTTGGGGGTTTGGAGAGAGGCCAGGCCTCCCTCATGGCTTCTTGGCAAGGCCCTTGGCTGGCCATGTGCTGAGCCAGACCTGTAGCTGAGACTGAACTTATCCAAGAAGCCAGGCCCCCGAACTGAGGGGAAAGGAGACTGGGGCAAACTGTGTTGCCCCTCCTGCTTGGCAACACCTGCTTGCCAACACCTGCTTGCCTAAGTGTAGGTGGGTCCTGTGGGATGAGCACAAGTTTGGGAATGCTTCCAGATAGCTAGAGAGGTGGCCAGAGATCCTAATATGTTTACTGCTGTCTTTGTCTCTCTGACTCCCTCATAGGAACTGGCAGCGAAGCTTCATGCCCAGGCCCCTGAACACTACCCGGATAATAACCACAAGCCAGAGATGGCCATTGCCCTTACCCCTTTTCAGGCCTTATGTGGCTTCCGGCCTGTCCAGGAGATCGTGGATTTTTTTCAGAGTAAGGCCACGGACAGTGGGGTGGGCCTGGGGCTATGGAAGAAAGGGTGACCGCTGGAAGCTAGAGGGTAGCATCCTAAGGGCCTCTAAAATATTTGGAGGACCTTTTCAGATAGGATGTGACTGAACATCAATCCTGGGATACCGATAAGATTGATTTCAGCAGTGCAGGGAAGTGACTTTCAGTCAAGCGCTACATGGGGGTGGCTGGGGAGGTTGTGAAGCCTAGAATGAAGTCCTAAGCAGCAAGGAGGTCTGGGAAATTAAGACCACAGGCTGGCCACTGATGTGTTCTCTTGCAGTGCCAGGGCCCTGAGGATTTTGGGGGCCCTATCCCTGCCCCCAGGGCGGGGGGGGAGGGGGCTGAGCTCTGGTGTCAGACCCCCAGGCTTTCTTTCTGCAGAGGTGCCAGAGCTTCGGCTGCTGATTGGCAGTAAGGCAGCAGAACAGTTAGAACAGAGCATGGGCCAAGACCTCCAGACTATCTCTTCTGCCCTTCGGGTCTGCTTCACCAAAATGATGAAGAGTGAAAAGGGGGACTTTGAGGAACAGCTTAACATCTTGGTGAAGCGCGTCTCTCAGGAAGGTGGGTTTGCCTTTGGTGCCGTGGTGGGCTCAGCTCTCACGGGATCTCTCGTGGTGGGATGCTCTCACGGGATCTTCATCCTTTTTCTCCAGTGGGGTGCACTGGGTGAAACCAAATTTGGGGTGGGCACTGGCTCTTTGGTATTTCATTTTCATCAAGAGTTGCAGTTTAATTGAACATGACAGAACTTTCAAGGAAACATTTAATTGGAGTTATTCTGCATGAACTAGGTGACTCCTAAGGTACTTACTAATTCAGTTAAGACTACCATTTTCCCCAGTTCTCTGGATACACTCTTTCACCTCCTCTGCAGAGGAAGGCAGCGAAGAGTCTGGTCCTCCACAGGAACCCATCCAGCCTCGAGAGCCTTTTGTGCTCAGCCATGCCCTTGCAGGACACAAGCTATGGTTCTCACCTTAGGGAGCTCAGGCGTGCTGAACAACAGGCTAGCACAAGACAGGAGAGAATCACATGTTTAGCTGGTGCGGTGCTGCAGGCACCCAGAGCTCATCTCCTGTGGCAGCCAGGCTAGTGTCCTTGTCAGCAGAACACGTCTTTGCTCATGCTATCCTCTGAAGCTGTCTTCTTTCCTCCCTTAGGCCTAGGGAAATCCTACTCATACTTAAAGGCTTCAGACCAAGTTCATCCTCAACTCCCCCTCACCCACAGGAATAGCTTATCTTTCTGTCATGTTTGACAGTTTGTGCAACATGGAACTTCACTGGATCCTCACAACTGTGAACTTGGAGTACTGCCAGTATTTCCATTTGACAGATGAGGAAATCAGGGCTCGGGTTAAATGATTTACCCAAGACCACCCAGTATAAAAGTGGCACTGCCAGATCCAGAACCCAGCCTCTTATTGATTCTAAAACAAGGGAGTCCAGGAAGCCTCATGCTCTCTCCCCTCCTCTTGTGCTGTCTAATTCACACATTATAAGCTGCCTTATGTTGTTACTGCACTGTTCTCAGAGACACCCCACCACCCAGAGCCCCCTGCCTTGTCTCTTATTGCCCAGCACAGGGTAACAGACCTGTGGTTCACTGGGCAAGAGGGGAGGGTGAGGCTTGCAGTGGGGAGATCACGGGCCTCTGACCTGCTTCTGGCACCTCTTCCCCTCTAGTGGCAGAAGGGAAAGACGTGACAGCCTGTAATGGGGAACTCCTCCTGAGGCTTCATGGACAGTATCCTGGTGACATCGGCTGCTTTGTCATCTACTTCCTGAACTTGGTGATGCTACAGCCAGGGGAAGCCATCTTCTTGGAGGCCAACGAGCCCCATGCCTACCTAAATGGAGGTGAGTGGGGAAAGGCAACAAGGGCCAAGTGGACGGGTCCACAGGCTCGGGGTCCCAGCAAGAGGGCCATATTTCCAAGTATAATCTAGTGAGGAGGGCCATAGAGAAATGTGCAGCCATCTCCATCCACTGCCTTGCTTCCCCCATTGCTTTTCGATTCCTTCTCACTACCACTTTGACTTAGATCCCCTAAAATACTGGTGTCAACTCAAAAAGAAATGGATCCTCATGGGCCACATACTGACTTAAAAACCACAAGTTAACATTAACTATGGGGTATTTTATTTCATTGTGTTAAACATTTCACAATTATATTTCAGTCTGGTTCTGGCCACTGGCCTATGCGGCCCCAAGCTTGATATTCTGCCATAAAACAAAGCTGGGCAATGGAAGGGGTAAACATGGGGCTGAAGCAGAGACAGAATGTCAAGGGCCTATGTTAGTGAACACTTCCCTTGAGTGATCCTTTATGGGCTGCCTCCTTCAAGGGTAGGAGGCTTGGATGTCCTAGGGATAGCTGGTGGTTTGAGGATGGGGTGCTGCTGGAAGAGCATGGGCCAGCATGACAGTCAGGGAATCTTTGTCTGCTCCTATGGAGGGAATGCTAGGGGATGGGGAAGATCAGGTAGACTGACCAATGTGTCCACTCTTTCTAGACTGTGTGGAGTGTATGGCATGCTCAGACAACACAGTGCGAGCTGGCCTGACACCCAAGTTCATTGATGTGACAACCCTATGTGACATGCTCAACTACACTCCAGCCCCAAGAAGTTCAAAACTCTTTTCTCCTGTGGTTGATGAAGTCGACCCTTATGTCTCCATCTACAATCCACCTATACCTGAATTCGCAGTTTTACAGATCAAGGTGAGCTGTGGGGACACTGCCCCACCTCCTCAATCCTTGGGCCCTCTGGCACCGCCAGGTCAGATACGGGGCATGAGACGAAGGAGACAGGGTGACTGCTTTAGTGCGTAAGGGACAGATAGGCCGACTTACTAACGCTTGTTACGGGGCACCTGGGCCGTGATCAGCACATCTCCTCCACAACCTCTGGGTCTACACTAGACCAGTAAGTTAGGGCAATGGCAGGTCCTGCTCCCCTTTGGTTCCATCTACTTCTCTTCCCATAGGTTCCTTCCACCACTCGCTTCTACGTGGTTACCAACATAGAGTCAGCCAGCATTCTCCTGGTGGTGAAGGGAAAAGCAAAGGGTAACCCATCAGTATCCAAGTCTGAGCTCTCCTTGCAGCGTGGCACTGTAGTCTTCATCGCAGCCGATGAGTTTCTCTCATTGGAACTCAGTCCGGGGCAGGACTTGCTGATGTTCCGAGCCTGCTGTCTGCTCTAGCCTGGCCACGGTTAGCCCTGCGGTCTCCCACCGGCCCATGTTGTATCTGTGTTGTGTCTCGGAGCAGCTCCAAGAAAGTGGGCTCAAAGATCATGCCAGCTGTTGTTCTTACCTTGCTCCTGAAAACGTTGGCCCACCTGGAGGAGCTGGGGAAGGGACCTGTTCTACACGGGTGGGACAACCATCTGTCTAACAGTGGAAGAGGGATATACATGCTGTATCTCTGGAGTTATTTAAGCACACAATTAAATGTTGACTGCCCCACAAAGATGCTGTACTGGATGGACTGTCGGACATAATCCCCTCCCCACTCTAAGGTTCTAGGATTTAACACCAGTCTCCCTGTTACCACCCTTGGCATTAGTCCAGGGCATAACGTGGCACAGGGCACCCCATTGCAGACACTGTGCCTGATGCTCAGAAACCTGAGCAAGGCCTTTCCTCCCCCTCATTTGCCTCAGTTTCTTATTCTGTAGTGGGTCGAGTGGTGGGCTGGTAGCAGTGCTGAGCATATTCCTCCAAAGTTTGCAGTGAGCCTCTCTCAGGCAGACCATTGAGGTGGGGATGTATGGTTTCTATAGAAGGGGTTTCTTCACCACTGGACACGATGCCACAACCCTCAGGAGGTGGTTGGTCCAATCCAGAATCAGCTAGCATGTTAGCACTTGTTTTCCTCCCTCCAAAGCTCGCTAGAGTGCTCTGCTTCTGGCAGACTTCCAACAAGCATCTGTTGAGTTGACAACTAGTTCACTTTGGTGTTCTGATTATTTTATCTTGATTTTGACCTGAAGTGTCCACAGGAGGAACTTCTGTTAATGCAGGTCAGCATCCCACAGAGCTGCCTAGAGCTGAGAGGCCAAGCTAAGCCAGCCAGGATCTGATGGGGGAACTTGAATCTGGGTCTCCTGTAATGGGCTCACCAGGAAGTCACCTGAACTCTCAACAGAAATACCAGGGCTAGGGAGGTACATGTCCCTGTGTTGATAAAAACTCTGTACCAGGGAATGGCAGAATGGGGACATTACTTTCCAAGATGCTAGACTTGATGTGAGTGGGACTTCAGTCCCTTTGTGAGGCTCAACAAGCATGGGACATTATGCTGGGGAACTGCTTCTTTTCTATTATAGAAGGTCTTACTCACCAGTTTGCTGACATTCAAGAAAGGGTTGGTGATCAGAAGAGCTGGGCCCATGTTCCCCAGCCTCAGGCAGCTCAGGGCAGTGTCAAGTAGGCGATGGCAGAAGTTGTTTTTAGGTAACCCAGCAGTTGCTCTGTGTCATTCACAGGGCCCAGGCTGAACCCACGCATCCGAGATGACAATGCCCAAGGCCTGTGTCGGCGCTAGGCCCTTGCTAGCTGGTAATGGTGGGGGGAATCAGGAGCGGGTACAAGAAAAACAGCCAAATGGACCCCTAGCTTGGGTGGCCTTTGTGATGTCATGACACACTGATTTAGGAGATAGATAGCTAGCCTCAGAGCCCAAGAGACCTGTGCTGAGTTTTTTCCTGACTGGCCAAGTGACTAGGGCAAGACATCAATCCTCTTGGTGCTTTGGACAGTGACAAGAGAAGAGAGATTTCCTGTAGCAATGAAAGCCCAGGTCCGGGGCCCCCCTCCCCCCATCCCTGAGGGCTAAGAGGCAGCACCTGCTGACACCACAGCTGCAGCTGAGGGGCATACCAGCGCCCCAATTCCTAGTTCCTGCAGGGAGGAACAGAGATCCTCCTAGGATCCATAGGTCCAGATCTTTCATCTCTCACCTGGGGGGCTCATGCTAGTAGCCCCTACAACACTGACACACACAGAGGTCTTGTAGCATGAAGAAATTTACTGATATTATAAACTCTGCTCATGATAGAAAACTCTAAGCCATACACATCTCTGAATATACATACTATGTACACCACATAAACCCACCCCAAGATTGAGTAGCCAAAACCAACTGGTCCGTTTTCCTAAGTGTACTGATTGTCAATTGCAGAGCACCAGAAGGTGAGGGACCCAAAGCCGCCCCATCACTGGTGGTGCGCCCAAGGCCACGGGACTTTTAGCAAGCAGCTTGGTCTGACAATCGGTTGGGGTGACTCCAGACAGACCCTGTCTTGTTGACTATACTTTTCGATAGCCAGCCACCCTCTTACAACTTCTACGCAGTGCACTTACAGCTTCCTGTCAGAATGGAATCCCCACTGATCTCTAAGGCAGCATGGGCATTAGTGCCAGAAACTTCAGAGGCTCTTTTCATGGCAATGAGACAACCAAAGAAACCACTGGGTGGAGAGCCAAGGGCTAAAGCAGGGGGTCAGAACAGCCCCATAAGTCTAAGGAAGAACACTGGTTCTGGCTCGGAGCCCAGGCTTTTCTATCCTTTCATCCCACTGGGGAAATGCCCGAACCTCACTCAAGCCCAGAAGAAGATCTGTAAAGGTGAGAAAGTAACCAAGCTTTTAATGAACTCCCTGCTAGGCCTGTCCTACATCCTTCCAGTGCTTTTTTCTCCCCACTCACTTGTTCTCATTCTTTACAAAAAACACACACACACACACACACACACACACACACACACACAAAACAAGCCATAACACAACAACCTGGGAATACAGATGCGCACAGATCCTAAAAGTGGACAGACAGTTACAGTGGAACAACTGCCCCAAAGGGGTCTGAGGTCGACAGCAAAAGTACAAAAAAAAATAGGTCAAAGTTACTGTTACTGTTTAGGTTGTGTCTGAAATCCCTCTGGCCTTCTCTTGTCCAGTCCAGATCTAGGAGGCCCAGCAGACCCTCATGGTCACACAGCCCTCCTGTGGACTGACAAGGCCAGTGGGACAACAGATTAGTGGAGCTTAGTGACTTCGAAGCACCTTTGAGGCTGCCCCAGTTCCCTTAATGTTCCTCTTCCCACAGAACCATGAGACCAAGCACTGACTTGGTACAGGTAGTCCCCCAAACTCGCCTGGGGGGGGGGGGGACAGGAGCACGTCAAGAAACCAGTCTGCAGCTTAGGAAGGGCCATGTGGAAGATGACCCCAAGGTGCCAGACAACCAAGGGGAGCCTTGGCCTGGTAAATTCCCAATGTACAGCAGCTCCCTCCATGGCCCACGTTCCCTCGATATAGGTAAAACAAACCAACCATATGGAAATCTAAAAATCCTGGGGGAAGCTGAGCCTGACTGCAAAAAGTCCCTGAACCTAAACAAATAATTCAAAGGACAAGTCTCAAGGTTTTGTATCTAAATGTTATCCAACCTGGATCCTTCCGGCTGAGGAAACACACTCCTGGGTGAAAATGAAAACCCAAGAATATCTGGAGGAACCCCGACTCTAAGTCTGCCTTGAGGATTTGCTGAGGTCCACCAAGAGGGGAGAGGAACAGGAAGGGCAGGCGAGCCATGAGGAAGAGCCCCAGGTTGGGGATGGTCGGCCCCTTTGGTCATGTGCTTCCCTGGTTTGTCTGACTCCCACTTTCTATTCCTTGGGCTAAAGCACACATCAGTCCACCAATCCTTCAGTCCAACTCCAGAGTTCTTAACAAAGATAACAAAAACTTCTGATCCGTCCTCTCCTCACCAAAGCTGGAGGTCAGCCCCCTCCCACAGTATCTGAATGCCATCAACCCAGGAAACAGGCCAGGGGCGCCAGGCGAGAACAAGGCCAAAAACAAAAGACCTGAAACCTCAAATAAATAAATAAATAAATGCAGGTTGGGAGGGAAAGAAGAACTAGCTTCAGAGCAGCCACAGCACCTGACTACGGGGTCGTGGTCAACCACAGCAATTTCACAACTCCCAGGAATTGGAAATTGGTTATTACTGAGGGCCACGGTCAACATTCCCAAAGCATTGGGGCTCCCTCACCAGAGGTAGGCTTAGGGGAAGGGGAAAGCCCAGCCAGCAGCACCTACAGAGAAGGTGCACATTTCACTTTGGAAGGGCCTGTGAAACTCCCTTCTGTCAGTATCTCAGGGGAGCCAAATCCTTTCTGAAGGCTACTCAGCCAAGGGCAGCTGCCTCTGACTCCTCTTCCCGACCTGGCCATAGAATCTCATCTCATCACACTATCGATGCTCCCTCGGAGAATGCCAAACCAACATCCATTGCATTCCAATGATAAGTGGGTCAATTTCATGAGCTGATGACTTTTTTCTCTAAAACAAGACAAATTTTGTTTCCCTTATTCTTTTTTTTTTTTTTCTTGGTGAGGCAATTGGGGTTAAGAGACTTGCCCAGAGTCACACAGCTAGTGTTATGTGTCTGAGCCCGGATTTGAACTCAGGTCCTCCTGACTCTAGGGCCGGTGCTCTATCCACTGAGCCACCTACCTGCCCCTACCCTTATTCTTAAGAATCAAAAAAATCCTACATTTCCCTCCCTGTACAGAAGAGTCTTCTCCCAATGTGATGACTGCTGCATCTGCGAGAAGCTGGGTGTAGCCCTCCTACATTCCCATGCACTTCCCACCTGAACCTCTAGAGCCTTTGGCCCAAGAAACAGCATGGCAGAGCATACTGCAAGTCACTGACCTTCCTAAGTGGATGTTTGGCTCATGATGAATCTGGTGCTGACGGCTCTCTAGGCCCGGGGGAAGCTACTGTCCCTCTTGTGGCTTCCCCCAAGGCAGGCGCTGCCTACTGGACAGTGCAGGAGAATGCTTCCCCGAGGCAGCAGCAGCAGCAGGTGCAAGATGAGGAGGCCATGGGCTTGGGAGGAATGAGGTCCAGATCTTCATCATCCGGCATCTCATCCAAGTGATAACCATCTTGCAACAGTTGCCGGTTCAGATCCTGATTCACCTGCTGAGGGAAGAGGTTAGGACGATTAGAAGCCAGGCTGGAAAGTAAGAGTAAGTGCTGCGCAAAAGTGAACATGTCCTATGCACTCAGTGGCCAACTGCTATTGCTAGATGGGCTTTCTAAATCCTGGATGGCATCTCTGCCACACCGGCCACCCTAGAGACCTGTGAGCTTGCTGTACATCTGACTTGTTGCTCAATTCCAAAAGCAGAGTGTGACACTGTCCCCCTGCACCTACAATAGCCACTGGGCAGGGTGCTCCCTGGGGTATAATGAAGGGGAAAAGACAAACCCAGAGCCCTAACCCAGACCCTGATTCAATGGCAACTCACGTTAGAAAGTACCAGGCCAACCACCTCTTACTCTGCTTCTCTACCTAGAGTCAATTCTATTCAATTTGAAAAACATACGATGTACCAGGCACTGTCCTGGAAACTGAAGGTACAAAACCAGAATGGTCACATGTGTTCTGAGAAGTAGAGGGACAAAGCCTGTTGCTGTGATTTCACTGGTATAGGGTATTCCCTAGTAGACCAATGACCTGTCCAGAGTCATACAGCCAGCAGATGTCAGGACCTGAACCCAAGTCTTCCTGGCTCCCAGATCAGGTTTCTATCCACTACCCACACTGCCTACTAAATATGGAGATAAGTACGTACAGAAAAATATAAAACCATGGAGGGAGGGGCACACTTTCCTAACTGGCAGGAAGCTTGGGGTTCCAAAACAGATGAAAATAAAGAGCTTTCCAGACACGAAAGAGACATTATGCAAAGGTAGGGAAAAAGGGGTAATGCTCCCTATGGGGTACAGGAAGAAGGCCAGTCTGTATGAATGCAGACTTTGTTAGGGGAAGTAATGGGTACTCAGCCTGGAAATACAGACTGGAGCCAAAGTGGGATGGGCTTTAAAAGTCCGAGGAGCTCGAGCTGTGTCCCACAGGCAACAGAAAGCCAAAGAAACTTCTCAAGCAGGTGAGTGACATGGCTGGCCTCTCCCTTCAGGAATGCCGTTTTACAGGTGTGTAGAGGACAGAGGGGAGAGAGGCTGAAGGCAGGGACACCAAGGAGAAAATGATTATAATAGTTAAAGCAAGAGGGACAGTGGGGAAGAGGACAGAGGGCGGCCCCTGGAATCATGAAGACCCAAGCCCTGCTTCTGAAACATCCCCATCCTGGGCAAAGACTGCAGGCTGCAGAGAAGATTCCAATCTGCCTTTGGAGAGGGAGGCCTTCTACAAATGAAATCACACCAACCAAACCCTGGTCTGAGTAAGAGTTACTGAATGCCCAAATGAAGGGCCTGAGGGGTGACTGGAGAGAAAAAAATGAAGGACAGAGGTGTCTGTGGGAGCTGAAGAGACAACTAACTGGATCTGGTGGGAAAAGTCAATGACTGGGGGAACATGAACCTAGGTGGGGCTGCAGGATAGTATGAATATAATCCTTTTATGGCTACCCAGCTAAGTGGTATAGTACAGAGTGCTGGACTTGCAGCCAGACATTCCTGGCTGCATGAACCTCAATCAATCTCAGGTTCTTTATCCATAAAACAGGAGTAAAAAGCACCTCCTTCTTGGGACTGCTGGGAGGACCAAATGAGATACTCATAAAAGTGTTCCACAAAGTTGGCTCCTTGTCATTAGAGGAGCAATGTTCTCTGCTACAAAACGAGGCCATCTTACAACCCCAGAATGGGTGTCACAAAGAGAAAGTCTATTACTACTCCAGTTCCTGATGGAAACACTGATGCTCTGGGGCAGGCAAAGAGCCAGGCCACGTCCCTCCCTGCCCTGGGAGAGGCAAAAGGAACTCAGCAGCCTCACCTGCACCACGATGGCCAGAGCCCTTTATAAGCAGGAGCTTCCCTAGGGCAGGGAGTGCACCTAACACAGAGGAGGCACTTATTAAATGCCTGCTGAGCACAATTACCCCACTTGTTCCTCCCAGCAACCCTGTTAGGGAGGTATTAGAGGGATTATTATCCCACTTTACAGGAGGAAAACTAGGAGCTTGAAGGGAGGCTAACTGATCCAAGGTCATAGAGCAAGTTGAGCAGCAGAGCTGGAATCTGACCTCAGATCTCTTGGGTCCAAATTCAGTGTTCTTGCTCAGACTCACTGAGGCCTCCCAACAGACCATGCAAAGATGGGCTCCTCCATGTTTCCTCCTCATCCTTTAATACTTATCCTCCTGCCCTCAGAGGCAGGTGCCTATTAACTGGCACTGTTCACTGTGGCAGAATCCCAAGGGCCCCCAGAGTTTCCCCAGAAGCCGTGGGCAGTACTGGACACTGACAGAAAAGCACATTATGGAATACTAAGGCATCTGGACCCCTCCCTGAAAATTTGCTGGCAGCTGTCATAAGGCAGAGAGCTCACTACACAATCTTCTTCTAATATCATTTCACAAAACATTTAGAAAGACTGTCCTTCCAGAAATCACATGCTAACCACCAACAACTGCTAGGAAGTGAGTCAGAGCCCAAGGGGACACCCTTCTTTTATCGACCTTCTCCAATGGCATCCCAGACACCTGAGCGACTGCTTGGGGTACACAGAGCTACACACCAAGAAGAGACTGCAGACCAGGTTCTGAAAAGACATGCCCTCCCTCCCTAGAGCCCCACTCAGTGAAGCTTGTTGGTGTTCAGAGGCCTGGGGGACAGAGGATTCCATACAGCCAGGGATTGTGGACTTGCCTCTGCAGAGGAGTACCCTGATGAGTATCTGGATTCCAGTTCTCCATCACTAGAAAAAGAGAAAGATAATAAAATACAAGGATGAAATCTGAACCTCAGTGCTAACTATGGCCAGATGGAGGGGAAGGATAAAGAGCTCCAGGGCACAGGCCACCTCATCACCAAAACGGCTTATGTTTAACGCTGAAGGACCTCTCAGACCAGTTAAGAGGTACTCAGGATTGCACCATCCTTCCACATTGTATTAATTCAAACAGCTGTGTTACATTCTTGGACAAGCCCTACAGTTTAAACAAACAAAAAGATGGCTGAACTCCACAGAATGGCATGACCCATCGGTTCAGAAGCCAAGCCATTCTTGGTAGGTACTACTCCCAGAAAAGAACTGGGAGGAATCTGGATAAGTATTCACTGTCTCTCTCCCCAAGTTCCTCCTGGCCTTAAAGGAAAAACTCACCTGTCTGAATCGAGAGACACCAGGTTCTCATCTGCACTTTGGTTGAGGGCAGCATAACCCTTGTTAAACTTCACTGACCTGAAGGGACACAGGGACAAAGGACAGAGATAATAGCATGGAATGAAGCAATGTCATTATATATCAGAAGCCAATATCTATAACTGTGGAAGCACAGAATTAACACAATATCCTTGGTCTCCCTCCTATAGTAAATGTATAATACATGGATGTACTGTGCATGTACATATAGTGCATGGATGTACTGTGAACTGTCTAGAAGATGAAAGATTTCCAGCTGCCTCATCTAGCCAGCTGTTGGATTTACCCTCATTTTAGAGGCATGAACTCTCTGAATCAGATAACCTTCAAGTCGAAGTGACCTCAGAGAGCACCAAGTCTCACTCCCTAAAGCATGATTCCTAACAAGTGGCCATCCAGCCTCTGCTTAAAGACCTCTAGTAACACGGAAGATACTAAGTCCTGGTGCAATCCATCCAACTTTGGGACCATTCTAATTGCTAAAATGTTAAATGTTAACCATGTGTTTAGCCAGTGAACAGAAGAGTGAAGCAATATGCGATAATGTAAGGAGCAGTGAAGGCTTGAGTTCTGGCCTGGGGTCTCACTGGATGACTGGGCAAGTTGCTTAACTTTTGTAGGCCTTGATTTCCTTCTTTGTAAAATGAAGGTTGGATTATAAACATTACAATGGCCCCAATATCTGTTTGAGTTATTATCTTTGCTCTTTTTTTTTTTTTACTAACTTCTTGAAAGAGAAGTCAACCCTCACTGACTCCATCTCTCCACTACCCACAACTCACTCCTCATCCCCTTACTCACTAAATCAGTTCTCTTGTGAAAGTCAACAACGACCTCCCAAGAGCCAAATCCAACGGCCCGTTCTCAGTCTGTGTCCTTTTGGCCCCTTCTTCAGCATCTGACACCGAGGACCATCCTCTGCTAGATCTCCTCCCGCCTCCTGAACTCCTCCTCTGCGGCTCCTCTCCCGTTTCTGTTCCCCACGGCTGTCCCTTTGGTCCTCTTTTTCTAGGCCCTCTCCCTAATAATCTCTCCCAGTTTCAAGTATTCACTTCTGTGTCTATGACTTCCACTTCCAAATCTATGAATTCAATCCTGACCTCTCTCCCAGACTCCACATCTGCATTTCTCACCAACATCTCACGTTCATTTTTGCTGTCAGAGGCCTTGAGATTAAATCCATGCTCTAAATACAACCTGTGTGACATTAGACAAGTCACTGACCCTCTCAGCCAGTTTCCTCATCTGCCCTGACAGTGCCGGCCTAGGTGGTGTGTGCATCATTCCAAGGATTTAGGAATGTCAGGCAGCTAATATGTCTAAAGTTGGATGCGTCGACTCTGCTCTGGACGAGCCTCTCTTCTTGACTTTCTCCCATTCTGGTCAGCAGTGATGCCATTCTCCTGTCACCCATGCTCACAACCACAGTACTTCTGACTGCTCCTTCGCCCTGCTTCCCCCATCTGGTCACTATCTCCTGTCCTTTCTACCTTAGCAGGATTTCTTCAAGGGCTGTCCTCATTACCTTTCCCTATGTCCTCACACCCTCACTAAGGAGAGCTCCTCAAACAGCCTTCCAAGCAGCCTCTGCCATGCTATTCTCCCTTCCACACCACCCCCTAACCTGACAAGGATACCACAGTTACATCAACTTTACTAATGCAGAGCTCTATCACTCCTGTGCTCAAAAGCTTTTGGGGACTCCTTGCTGCCTACAAAATAACACCGGTACCCCGAAGCCTGGTTCCACTCTCCCCTGGCAGCCTCATCTCCTTCTACTCCTCTCACATACTCTACTCTTCAGCCCAAGCCTAGTCAAGTCTTTGGAACATTCTGTCTATGCCTCACTATGGCCCCCAAAGACACTATTTCCTACACCTGGAATGGTCTTTCTTCCTTTCCCATTCCTGTCAGTTCACAACAACCATTTTTTCCATGAAGTTCTCCCTTATCCTCCCAGGGAGAAGTCATGGAATCATATATTTAGATCTCGAAAAAAACTGAGAAATCAAAAGAGTCCAACTACTCTGATCCCCCACCCACAATACAGATTAAAGGTCAGTCCCTATGAATTATTAGGACATCTTGTTCATACTTCTCCAAAGTCCTAATTACATTTATTTTGCAAGTATTACTGACAATGATTTAGTGAAGAACTTTACCTCTAGTAAATTTAATTTAATCCTCAACACAACACTATGCAGTATTTTATTGTGCACATTTTATTTCCCTACTAGATAAGTTCTTTAACAGCAAGAATCAATCTTTTTTACCTTCGAACCTATGCTAGCACATAACTCAGGGCCTCTTTTCTTAGAATATCAAACATTTATTAAGTACCTCTTACTGGAAACGCTTTCAGCTCTTCCCAACAAATATCTCCACCACAACTGAAGAGAAGGGGGTGCTCCAGAATCTAATTCCCTCCCCGGCCCCTTGCTGGCTTCTCTCTTGCAGTAATATCACCTTAGATTTATATAACTTCTTGACTTTAAAGCTTTTTTTCACCTATATTACAACATTCCCCAAAGCAGAAAGGTGGTCATTACCTGAACCTAAGTATCCTCCACTCCCAGCCCAGTACCCTGAGGCTCTACTGCCTAAGGAGTCCTAATGGTCATCCCTGAAAATACCCTGGTACAGAAAAATTGGAACAAACAGGAAGTTGGAAGGAACCTTTTCCCTGAAGAATTGGGATGATGTGAAGAGGATCCCATCACGCCTTTCCTCCGCAGGACAGCCTTTGCCAGATCCCGGTGCTTCTCTGGAAAATTAAGGAGCCTAAGTCAATAGGCTCACTTTTCATGAGGTTCCTACTCTTACAGCCAAGAGAGTGATCACTCAAAGACATACTGAATGTTACCTAATTTTGATATAGTGAGGCAATCTCTGAATTGAATAAAATAGAATAAAATTAATGTCTTTGATATACAGAAGGGAAGGAAAAAGTACTAATATCACAGCAGGGAGGATGCCTCATAAACAGAAAGGCCAAGTACCATGGCCAGTGTCTGGCCTTCCTTTCCCCAACAGCCAAAAAAGTGAGGGCAATCAGTATTCGTGTATATTTAGTCACTAAAGTGAAAATGCCCACATCTTCCTTCCCTTCCAGAGGACTCTTGATATTTCAGTCTCTTGTGGCTTCCTTTCTTTTTCCTCTTTAAAGTCGCCCTTGTTTACAGAGAGGAAAAAATGTTAAAGTGGAAAAACATGATTTGGCCTTACATTAATTTGGCAAGGGGTCAGAACTGCCTGGGTTCCTGCAGGTAGGTAGGTAGGTAGATAGGTAGATAGGTAGGTAGGTAGGGAGAGTTCTCCCATAATCTTGCCCTGGGGTGGGGATGTAACTGAAGCAGGGCCAGAATCAAGGCTGAGACTTCACTGGCTGGCTTCTCTCTTCCACAGAGTCCACAGAGGGCTGGATTTGGAGACTCAGGGGCTGGGTTCCTGTCTCAGTTCTGCCACTTACTACCAGGGCAACCTTGACCTCCCTGAGGCTTACTTCTCTCATCTGTAAAATGAGGGAGTTGAACTAGGAGACCTCTAAGGTCCCTTACATGGCTCTAAATCTATGATTCTAGAAACTGTTGTCCACATTGACTCCTGCACAGGAGCCAATGAAAATTAAGACTCTAAAGGAATACTCACGCAACTTGGCCTGGATGGAAGGCATTCGGGTCATGATGTATGGTCCCCTTTTCTCTACTGCCTCTGGAGCCCAGTCTACCCTCTTGTAGGAACTCACCACCTGAAGGGGCAAGGCAGCTTCATGAAAGGCTAAAAGCAGCCTCCTGATAAGTGGGAGATCCCTACAACAGACCTTATCTAAAGTACCCCTGAAGGAATGACATCCCCCAGAGCTCTCCAGGCATTTACCTGAGGTGGGAGGGCGGACAGGTGGAGAGACTCAATGGGTGGTTATGGGGGCAGAGGAACAAAGAGGGATAGTGACAATGGAGTAGAGGTGGTGAGGCGGGAGGGGGAGGATGAGTAGGGAAGTGGAAGGGTGGGAGGATTAGGAGATAGAAGATGAGCCGGGGTGGGGAGAGAGGATGGGGAGGGGGGGAGGATGAGCAGGATAGTAGAGGGGGGGG